ACGAGCCCCAGCTGCCTGCAAAAGCAGGGCGTAAGGTACAGAGTTCTGCACGTTACGGTCTGCTACTGCTGCCTCGGAGGGAAAAGCCAAGTACATTCTAACCTGAACTGTGCAACTTTGCTGTCAAGAGAGATTTCTCCTCCACTCTGAGCAGAACAAGAAATGTTAAAGAGGTAGAAGTGGCCACCTAACAGAGTGGATTTATTCTCTTTAAACAAGTAAAATAACAATGTTTTCTATAGTTTGCTTGCCTTTCCATGTCTGTATCTTCTGAGCTTCACACAGGGTAAAAATGAAGCAGCAACCGTCAGTGCATAAATTACAGGAACAGAAAGCTGAGCCAACAGCTCTCACGTTCGTTACTCTTTTTCCTTTCAACGGCTCCATCAGTTCTATGTGTTGTAGTCACCCAGACATGTAGGAGGTTTAAATTTAGGAAGACAGAATAAAAGGCTTGCTGGTATCGAACCCTGTGGGCTCAGACGGTATCATGGTTGTCTGCAAATGAAGCAGAGAGAGCAGTGCATCCATCTCTGCTACCTGTGCGGACGGGTAACCTCACCTTCACTACAAAAGCACCTACTCTCCCAGTTGTGATCGTGTTCAGACCTCGATCTCCTTTAGTCTTGTCTGTAAATACTGTCCTGGCTAGATGAATGGATAAGGAGACAGACGAGGTAATAGAAACACCACCTGGTGTAGATACTGTTATCCCAGAAAGTAAATGTTTTCTTCTAGACCTTTCTGCAGAAAGCAGTTGAGCTGGGTGAAAATGTTGTGATAAAACATATTTTGGTGAACAATGCGGAGGTTTAGAGATACCCCTGGATTATGTACTCACCTTGATTTTGATGAATTATTCATTGGATTGGCATAGGTGTGTGTGTATATGTCTGTATAGGGAGCATTCAGAAAACTTGGGTTTGATATTTGACCGTTCTAATATTTTTGCTTTTCTCCCTGACATGACCTGTGCTTTTCAAAGTTGCTGGTAATTCTATTTAAAATACAACTAAGCAAGCCTGAATCAGAATGAAATGCTGAGCATTGTCTTACCCCCAACAAACATGTTTTGATGCATCGATTTGCATTAAAATATTTCTGTAATGAGTTGATTCAAAAGGTCTATGCTTGACTTGGCAGTGAAAGGAAAAACCAGTTACTAATATAGCTCTATTGAGAAGTCCTAATTACAGCTTCTGCTGGTCATGGTGCGTGGTATGTGGACATATGAGTCATGTTTATATCACCCCTTTTTCTTTTGAAGAAATGCAGTAGGAATTTTAACTGCAGAGATGAACATAAAGGACCCAAAGTTAATGGTTCACTTAGGAATAAATAGTTCCTCTTCTTGACACTCGCACACGGAGTGCCAGACCTCAGCTGGACTAAATCAGTAAATCATTAACTTTAATAGGGATTTGCCAGTTTACACCTACGGAGGATCTGGCTCACATATTTCAACGACAATTCTCTTCAGATGTAGCCAAACATCAGGCATGGGGTCCTATCCACAGCAGTCAATGGCTCCACATCTGCTATTCCACTTGGGACGCTGAAAGTACACGCCTCTCCTCAAGGCAGGACATAATGCAACTTTCCAATCGTATATCAGATACATGAAGAACCAGACTTTTGTGCCCATATAGCTACTGTATTTTTTTAATGAATCAGACAGGAATAGTGCTTAAACTGCTTACCACTAACTTTAATTTACAGCGTGTGGTAATATAGTGACAGTAATGTTGTCATCATTCTCTCTCTTCCTCTGTGGCATCAAGCCCAGACTTTCACGTTCTCATTTTTAGGATGGTGTCAAACTGAGTTTTACCCCCACCCACTCAACCCCCCTGATGAAATGATATGTTATTAGAAAACAAATAAATAAATAAAAGAGACCTCACTGATAGCTCCAGAATCTGCTGGTTTTTCTCTTCTGCCTTAACGTGCTTTTCATCCAGGGAACAGAATGAAAATGCATTTTCTACGGTAGTAACTGGCATGTTCTAAATGGTGTCAGAATTCAAGAACATGACAAGCAAAATACAGCTGGACTGGAGGGCTCCACCACACATATAGTAGGAAATATTGCATTCCCATGCTGTTTTCATGCATGCAAACGATCAGCCACATTACAAACCCTTAAAAACATTGTGAGAAAACTTGACATTTCCCAGATGGGCGGCTTATTTGAGCCTAGCCCATCTGACTTTCCTTTCTCCAGGGGAATTTAACCCCTTGGAGCTCCTATGGGGAAGCTACGTTTCCTTGTCATTCCGCTGAAAGCGTAATAGAATGGCGCTGGTTTGGCAGGATTGTTAGAGTTCAGGTTGACACCCAAGTCTCTGTGCAAAGTGTGGTCAAAGATGCGCCGGTGGCTCTCGCTCCTTGGTTTTATGGAGAGCATCTTGTGCCAAGCTACAATCTGCACAAACCGCATTACAGGCTGTAATGAGACCAAAATCAGCAATTGCTAGTCAGTCCCCACCATGTATAATCCTAACAAGCACCCTGGCCTTTCAGGTTTTAAACTGTTCTCCGTGTGTCAGGACCTCTCGAGCTTAAATTCAATGTGTTTTCAATAACTCCATGAAAAACGCGTAAGCTCGCTTTAGCTTCGGGGAAGATCGTTTGGGGAAAAAACTCACCATCTAGATTTTTTTGGCATAGGCAGTAGAATGAGATCTTTCCAATTTCTAATGCACCACCCTGAGCAAATCTGATCGGTATGTAACCAGTGTTGAATACTGTGCAGGAGGTTTCATATTTGGTAGATCTCTTAAAGCCCTCAAAAGTACTATTCAAAAGGCACTCCTTACTGCTATCCTTGATTTTGAAATAACCCTACCTTAATTATGCCATCCTGTAGGCCTACTGGCAATTTTTTAAGGTAGACAAAATGTTGCTCACTATTAACTGGCTGAAAAAAATAGCTTTTACTGTCAGTGCCAGGCTGTTTGCATTCAACAAGTCAGCTAACCCAAAAGCACAAAAGCAAGTCTTTTTAAAACGAGAGAAATAGCTCAAGGGCATCCCACTGTCAAACAACGGAATAATGTCTGACTCTGAGGCTCAGATGCAAAAGGCAATGTCTTCTCTCAGGATAAAGATGGTCTACCATCTAATAACTCATAGGATGCAAAGCCTATATAGGTTTAACCGTATCTGCTCGCTCTTTTTTTTCTTTCTTCCCTCTTGATCTCTTTCCTTCTGCTCCCCCCAACCCCTTTATCAAAAATAACTTCTGGAAGGAAAAATAAACACTGGAAGACACTCAGCTGTTTTGGCAACCATGTGTGCAAGAAAGGCCTTTTCCCCCTGCTCTGTTCCTCCAGACTGAAAGGAGCTGGAGCTCCAGTTTGAAGGCAGACAAGCAGCCTGTGAAACTTCAGCCAGTTTTCATCACAGCTGGCCATGCCTGTGTGATTTCAGACAAAAGACTTCCGTCTTTATCTGGCGCTTATTGAGACATCTCATTCAGCTAGAGATAAAAGGGAAAAGATGTGCTTTGAAATTGAACCATTAGGGCGTCAAAGAAATCAGCATGCAAATGCCACACGCAAATGAATTCAAGATGAAGCTTGAGGATCAAATCTCGGTGCCAACAGGAGTTTGCCTGCACAGGGACCCAGCAAAGCCGTTGTAAAGACCTCAGGGGAGTTTGGCCCTATGTTTGTTAAGGGAAGGAGGTGAAAGCTGGATGTGGAAGCAATCTTAAAAATAAATGACAATGGGATAGATTGTTTCAGAGAAGTTACCCTGGTTTGCCAAAGGCTGGGTAGGTTATTCACCAGAATGACTCTTCAATGAACCATGGAGAATTTCCTTCTGATTTCCCACCTTGCAAATTCTCGTAGAGCTTAATGTGCCACTCCCTGCCTGTTTCTCACATGTCCCACTGTGTGTACTGGTGCAGTGCTGGCATGCCGTGCATGGACCTGGTTTGTTTTAAGTCGGGACTGTATGTCAGGCATAAGGGTCTGAGATAGCTTACCTTAGGTGTTTGGTACCCGATTTCAAAAAGCGAGTATGTTTTTCTCACTGTCTATAAAAGGACAGTATTAGTCAAAACCTAAAAGATCTCTGATGTTCTATATTTTAATATATTTTAGCTTACTGTATTTTAAAGTCTGTGTGACATGTCTACCAGTAGAAGAGAATCAGGATTCAGCTGAACTGACAGTAAAAGAGTCTTTGCTGAGAATACTGAAGGTAGGCAGACGCCGAGGCTTGCTAGCTCCTCCAGTAATTTATCACAGTCATGCTAACTCCTGGTTTGTCCCATGGAGTCCAGGCTGTGATTGCTGACCGTGCACATCAGTGATTGTTTCAAGATCTGTATTTGCCTGTAGAGACTAAGTAATGGTTAGCAAAGAAGTTAGGGCTAACTTAAGAAATCTCTGCTTGCCCACGGCCTATGGGTAGATGTGGTGAACAGAAGTATTTTAACAGGGATTTTATTCTGATTTCACTTGCCATTTCTGTCCTTCAGCTGAGACACAAGCCATTGGCCTTTTAAGTGGAGAATGGAGCATTTGAGCTTTCCATCAGGAGAAATGTTCCACTGCGTGATAGCTTTCCACCCACTGAGAAAACTACCACTTAATAATGTGCAAATCTCTAGTTAAAGAATTACAGAGATTAGTCTGAAGCCTGACACTCATCCTGCAGGAGGGAACCTCACCAAAATGCTGTTGACAAAGGGAAACTTTGTTAAGTGTGTTTAGTTCAGCCCTGCAATTGCAAGGATCCCTAAGCTGCTTTGTTTTATGAGACTTAGGGCAAGGGATTTTCTTAAAGCAAAGGGCAAAGGATTTTCTTAAAAGACATACTCCTTCTATAAGGGTGCGTAGTCTCATGGGATCTAGGGATTAGGTGTTCATTTCCTATACAAAAGCTTCATAATTGTCTAAAGGATGCCTGGGTATTAACCAACCTCCAAGTAAAAGATCAAGTACAGTGCCCAGGAAAAAAAAAAAAAAAGAATCACTTCATGTCAGCTGTACTGGGAGTTACGTACCAATAAGTGATGAAACTCATGAGTTTCTCTCCATGGAAATCGTTTGTAAAAGACAAAAGATTTATAGGATCTGAAGAGAAACCACAGAGCAGTGTGCAGAAGAAACTATGCAGAGAAATTATGGTTTGATGAATATGAGCCTGCAAGAAAGTCCATCTGGGAAAGTTCCTGCTGGATACGCGTCCTGTCCCCAACATCTCCCATGATGTACCTGGACTTTTACCATCCCCAGCATTATCTGCACACATCAATCCAGAGTGACGTAGCATCATAGAGAGGGTGGTTGGGGAGCACTTTGAAAGGAACTTTGTGGATGGTTGGTGGGGATGGACATTTCTAGAACAATAGCTCTCAGAAGGCATCCTGAGAAGATGAAGTTTCATGCTGAACTAATTTGAAATGAAATGTATTTGGCTAGCTCAATATGCAATAATTTGGGGGAATTATTTTCATAAAGGGGCATGTCTTCCATGCTGAAAACCTGCACTGCATTATTTTGCTGGCCCTTTGAAATGGTTCCAATGCATTGATGAAACAAAAAGGCATAATGCAGGAATAAATTAATCCATAATATGTCACCAGGGCAGGATTTTTCCTGATCCTTACATGCCAATTTAATCTGATGGTGTCCATTAGCAAATGAAAACTGCTAAAACATTTTGTGCCTGTTGCTACGAGGAGTTTGCGAACAATCTTGAACCATCTATTAGTTAAGTTTCTTCTCAAGGAGCAAACATTTGTATTTTAAATCTCGGTTCCCCTTTATACCATTGTATCTGGTGTTATCCAAGATGATGAAGGCTGTTCAACCAGGTCATTCTCCAACATGAGATTAGCTTTTTCTTCAGTGATACTTGATATGTCAACATGAGGCTTGCCTCACAGGAACACTCCCGATTTACGTGCATCCGATGTTTTATGCAATCGTATATCCCGTATCTCAATTTGGGAGCATGCTAGCTTAGCACGAGCAGCTGTTCTACATTTACCGCTTTCTCTGAATGCTTTCTCAAGGCAAGCTCTAGCTCTTATATTGACTAAGCTCTTTAATGGGGACCCCAACCCTGAAGGAGCTTCCCCAAGGCCGTACCTCTCTGATCTGATTTTCTGTTACTTCTCCTCCTGATGAATCAGTTGTTGCTCCTAAATAAAACAAGTCCTTTATTCTGGAGTGAAAATGCTTCGGGCTGAACAGCTGAGGTCCCCACAATTCTTACAAGTTCACTGAAAAAAAAGCCCTCATCCTTCAGGTACAGATGTATAATCAACTGATTTCAGAATATCTACTAAGCAGCAAGGACGGTTTGTGCGTAGAAGAAAGATTTGCACCACATAGTGACGTTCTGCATCTGACGTTCATCTTGTCTGCATCGGTTCTTACTATGATGAGTATTGTTGGAATGGAATGCGGTCATAATTACAGTATTGTTATTGTGGCTGTAATAGCATTAAATTAAAATTACAGGTTTATTGTAGTCATTATTCCTATTCCCTCTCAGCAAATAAGACTTCTAATTTTTCCTTCCCTTGGCCTTCTAGTAATTTTCCCACTTTTGACTGGGAGATCTGGCCACCGTGATATTTTTATGGCCCATTTCCCTATCTTACGTGAGATGTCAGCTCAATACCTCTTCTCATATTGGCTGTGGGTGCAGGGCAGGGCATGCTGAGCGTCTTTGCTGTAGTAGAGTATCTTAGATTATCAGCATAGTAAGGAACGTGTATTTCTTCAGCATCCCTTTGCTATTGAAATGAGCTTTGCCATTCTCACTGTTTAAAGATATTAAACATCCATTGCTTAAACATTGCAACAGTTCTACCTTCGCACAAAGTTCAGTAATCCATAAAGAGTGAAAGCAATGACTGACAGATTCACACATAGCCTCTGACCAAAAAAAGTTTAGACTTTTGAAAATAGCCTTGTTCTCTCTTTTTTTTTTTTTTTGTTTAAACTCCTTCTGTCTCTTTTTTTTTCCCCCCTAGTAAACCCTTCACGGGGATTGCCTCTTTGTAAAGTGTATAGTCTGAAGTTAGTTTTGGGTGGCTACTCCTGCTAGACGAGGGATTCTCGTGACCATATGTAGCATCTGTGCTTGACTGCACTTTCATACAAACCATCACCAGCAGGGTATGGGATGGGATCTTTGTTGCTGTTGATTGATTTTGTACAAGAATGGTCTACATAGTGGGTTTTTAGAGTATTCTGTGGGGCTTTTATAATCTTACCCTACATCAAATAATATTACTCTATAAGATGCAACTAGATGACTGGAATGAGTTTGACACCACATTTTACTCCATGGGGAATATTTAATTCCCAGGGAAGATGTTCCAGAAGGGTAAAGGATAAGAACCGGGTTATTTCGGGCATCCCTCTGTGAGATGTGCAGTACTTTTCTACTGACTTCAATTCTCCTTGAGGACTTGGCACCTCAGATCTGTCCTGGTGCAACTAGAATAATTTTTATAACATTAAAGGTGAAAACTAATGGGTCTGGTTTTACTTTTAATGCTGATGTTACTGACTTTCTGTGAGCTGGGATTCCCATCACTAAAATCTGAATTGGACTTGATCATGATGATATTTTGAGCTGCGGTGGGTGCAGATTTATAAGCCACTGCCAGGAGTGGAAGTGAAAGAAAAAACAGGATTTTCTTGCCTTCTCTATTATTGATCCTGAATGCTATTGGTACAGGTGCTAAAAAAGATAATAGGAGGCCTGTTTTACAAAACATCTTTGAAACACTCATCCGGTACACTGAGGCATTATGGAAAATGAACTATGGAGACAATCTTGCCACTGCCCTGGGAAATAAATGGGTTGACTCATAGAGCTTTCTGCCTTTAATTACTATGAATCCACTGATTAAGCCCAAGAGCTCTCCTCTTAATCCTGAATTACTCATTTTGACCCTCCCAGAGTTTATATGCCTGAGCCATGACACCGTCACCCCAGAAATCCCGCGCTGTTCATCGGGGAGGTGGTCGCCACTGGGTGAAACAGAAACCAGCAGGTACTTTAGTGGGGCGACCTCCGTGTGCATGCAAGCATCCGTCAAGGCAGCCTTTCCTTAATTGAGTTGCTTACATTCCACGCTCAGTTACTGTCTGCTGACTTGCAAAAGAACAAAGGAACAGCTACTTCCTATTAAGGAAGGTAATAACTTAATTAAAACCAAGCTCTATGCACCGCAGGATCTAGTTTGTCATCAAGAGGCCTTCCTTGCCTTTCCCTATAGTTTTTGATAATCTATGCCAGATATTTAATCACTGGATACCCCAGTATAAAGCTTCTAGCCTCCATAACCAGCAGAAAGCTTGTCAAAATAAATTTTAACTTCTGACCGTAGTAGAAGACCAACTAGAAGGTATTAACAGAATCAGATCTGTCAATCAGAGCTTGGGCTCGCCGTTTATATTATTAATTCCAACTCTGGTGGCATGGTCTTGGGATAACAACCATCCTAAGCTGCATTGGTCCAAAAAACACAAACCAAGAGTGGAATATATTTCGTGCCGAGGTGACGTTACTGAGTGTCCAGAGAAACAACTTTTTTTTTTTTTCTTTTTGTCTTTGAAAGGTGATGTTTTATTAGATTATTCCTATTGCCAAAAGACACAGCTACTGTCTGGCTTCATTTGCTGGCTGTTTTTTCTAATGTAAAGATTTATTCCACACGCAAAAGCGACCTATTCAGAAAAAAAAGCAACGAGATTGTTGTTTGTTTGTTTGTTTCTGCAGATTTCATCCTAATTAATGCAGCATGTTAGAATGGAGACCGAAGAGTCTTTAGTGGGTTATGAAGTGAAACTGGCCTCACAAATTGAAATCTATCTTGGAGACTATGAGTTGGAGGTATTATTACAATGCAAACCAGCGGGAAAGATTCCAGAGAGAAAGAGGAGAAGTGTGTTAATTGAGAACAATAACATGCCAAAGACCTCCAGAAGCTGGTGGCCTTAATAAAATGAGACAATGCTATGTTGTTGCATAACCTGAACTTCAAATTCAATTTCAGTTATAGCGAAGTAGAAGCGATGCAGAGCTAGGGTTCTTTTTCTGTTCATTTATAAGGCCGCCTGAATAGAGAAGGTTTCATGGGTCATGTTGAACTGGGCTTGAACTGTATTTCTCTCTCCCTATTAATCACCTGATCATGGAATAAATTTCAAGGATATTAAGCACACAGAAGGTGATCTTTGCAATCAAACTAACTAATACCAGTGGCACAAGCTTCCATTCCATCCTAGCATGGTTTGTTTTCTTGCCCTATGTGGTTCAGCTGCTGTTGTGACTTAAGCTGCTGCCTAGAGGGGTAATAAGGCAATGGCCTGTTGGCACCAAGTTGGTTTTGAAGAGCCCAAGATTTTGGAGTTTGTTTTAATCCCCTGGTTTTCTTCATCGCCATGAACAAAGCTAGTCTGAACTTGCCTGGAGCGGTTCCAGGATTCCCCTTACCCAGACTGTCCCCCCCTGGTCACCTCAGGGGTGAAGTCCCAGAGTCATGCTAGACACGCGAGCCTTGTACAGTCAGACAGTGTCGTGGATGAAATGCGCTTTTTTTCCACCCCTGTGTGGCAGGTTTTGCTGTCAATAAAAGAAGTCGTTAGGAGCAAGAAGCTGCCTTGAAATCCATGAGCAAGTTCATGAGTCAATTTGAACAACAGTTCTAAGACATACGACAGATATGTGGGTGTCCTCAGCTCAAGGGGCCCAAGGACATGTCATGGCAGTGATTTCTTACATGCCCAGAGCTCTTTGGCAAGTTTTGTTAGTATTATTTTTGTATTTCTCTGTGTGAATCACTTTCCTACTGATTTCCCACCATTTATTTTGATGTGGTCTTCCAAATAGGCATTTGGATTCTTTTGGCTGGATAAAAATGCTTCAGCTTGAGGAAGGCAGGAAAGTGCGATACACTACTGAAGATCCTGAATATGCTAATTTAAAGCTTACAGATGAAGCCCTAATTATCATCAAGAGCCATGGACCTGGTTGGTATTCAGCAGTCAGCACCTTTAGCCTCCGTAGAGAATGGCAGTTCCTACCACCTATGAATCTGCCTTGATTTTTAATAAATCCGGTGTG